AATATGATAAAATCCGTTCTTTAAGTCGAGACTACTAAAATATTTTTTTCCTTTTAACCGATCAATATGATCATCTATCAACGGTGTGGGAAAATTGTCTTTCACAGTAATCTTATTGATTTCACGGAAGTCGACACACAGTCGTGACTCGCCATTTTTCTTCCGCACGAGAACGATTGGGCTAGCGTAGGGTGAATTACTCTGCCTAATTGTACCTGTTTTCAATAAGTCGTCTAATATTACTTGCAACTTTTCTTTATCGGCATACGTTAAACGCCTAGGCCGGAAGGTAATCGGCTGTTCATTTTTTAATAAAATTTTCATCTCGGTTTCCGGTTCGCTCACATCTGAATCCCATTTATCAACGTATTCTTTGTTATACAATCTTCGAACGCTTTCGACTACATGCGGTTCGACACCGGGATTAATATTCAATTCTTCTCCAACTTTTACAGGATTTTTGAGATATTCTATTTGCATAATCTCGGTATCAAAATTGTTCTCGCTTGTCGACTCGTTTCTCCTAGTAATTTTTACCGTTTTACCTAGTTCGATTTTTATTAACGGATCTCGACAGAAATCGCGACCAAGTAATGCCGCACACGACATTGTTTCGTTCGGTACTACCAGAAAACGTAGCTGAATATTAATTCTTTCGATTTCGACTAATTTCGAAAAGGTGCCTACTACGCGAACAGGGGATTTATTTACTCCACAGAAACAATCGCTGTTAGGAGGTAGCGGTTCGCGCAAACTCGTCGGAACATACTCAGTTTTTATGAGGCTCACTGGGGAGCCGGGATCAACTATCGCGTCTACTGTATATTCACGATCCACATCCCCTTCAAAGGACACCGAAAACTTTAACTGTACACAATACGGATCGCTAACGGATATCGGTTCGATCAAGTTCACAACGTTCGTCGACTCGGGTTTCGACTCTTTCTCGGGACAGTCTTTTTTCAAGTGGCTGGCTGAACCACATCGATGACAGCCTCCCTTAACTTTCTTCGGGTGTGAACATGCGGATGCCAGATGTCCAACTCCCTGGCAGTTATAACATTTAATTATCTTTCGGCGTGGTGTCAAATCTGCACTCGACGATGCTGGATTTCCTTTAAACGCTGAACTCTCCTTCGTCGACAATTTCCCATCCTTTTGGATTTTTCCTTGATCAATAGGTTTCTTCCATTCGCGATCAGGGAACTTCTTCGGGTGTAGCGTCAATCCTTTAAATGCCTCCAACAAATCCGACTGAGACTCGAACTGCATAATACGTGCTTGATCTCTGAGATTGCGATCAGGTATACCCTCGATGACATAATCGACAACTTCGTCATCTACTATCGGTACCCTATTAGCGAGGATTATTTTATCATGGAAGTAACTCGTGAATGATTCGTCCGTCCGTCATGCTCTCTCTTCGAGCTTCTTGCGTAGGGACAATCTTGATTGACGAAGGTCGAACATTCCCTTCATGGCCGCCAATAGATTTTCTATACCAAGGGTAAGATGATGTGGTTTGGAGTGAAACCACTCGGATGCACGTCCTTTTAATTTGGAGCTTATTAAAATTCTTGTCGCAGCATCATCCAAGGCGTACGACACTCGCAGCAATTGTACCTGCTGTTCCCATTTCCAGAACGTACCCTCACTGCCGTCGAATTCGCTCAACAAGTCGCGAATAGCCCTTACACTTTTGCTCATCGGTGGACCATTACGTCTTCTTCCGTCATCATTCATCTGCGGTACTCCATGATCTTCGATGTTCTCTCGTCTAACGATATCTAATTCACGTTGAAGAAGAGCTCGTTCTCTTCTAAGTAGTTCATTTTCTCGTCGAATCAAGTCATTCTCAGTCAAAGGACCTTCAACGGATGCGTCGTTACTTACTTGGCTTTCATTGTCCTTGCCCGCGACGGCATCCCTCGATTCATGGCCCGCGTCAATCGGCTGATCGACACCGCGGCTCTGCCGTGACCTCTGTTCATCCAGTGTGGTCCATATCTCCGGGTCATTGGCAGTCAATCGATCTATCAGGTCAGCTTTGTTACCGGTCGCCGGCAATTTCTTCTCGCGGAGAATGTCCTTAATCTCGGCAAGCGTATACGCACTCGGCGGTCTCGCCATTGTTAGCGACACACTGCACTTCCCTTTTCTATACGTCCTAGCACACAGCGACGTGTTAATAAATGTTTAACCTCAGTCAAAATGTTTGCGACACACGTCGGCACAATTAGCACACAGCAAAGATTCGCGGTACACAGCGCGAATTACCGTCAAAATATTCGCGACACACAGCGCGGAATATTCTATCTCACAGGGATATCGCGTTACGCGTCGATTCACCGCGCGCGATACGTGGACTCGCTTCCTCTCGTACGCGGCGGAACAATTAGCACGCAGCAAAGATTCGCGGCACACAGCGCGAATTACCGTCAAAATATTCGCGACACACAGCGCGGAATATTCTATCTCACAGGGATATCGCGTTACACGTCGATTCACCGCGCGCGATACGTGGACTCGCTTTCTCTCGTACGCGGCGGAACAATTAGCACGCAGCAAAGATTCGCGGCACACAGCGCGAATTACCGTCAAAATATTCATGGCACACAGCGCGGAATATTCGGTCTTTCAGCACGCAGCAAAGATTCGCGGCACACAGCGCGAATTACCGTCAAAATATTCGTGACACACAGCGCGGAATATTCGTCCTCACAGGGATATCGCGTTACGCGTCGATTCACCGCGCGCGATACGTGGACTCGCTTTCTCTCGTACGCGGCGGAACAATTAGCACGCAGCAAAGATTCGCGGCACACAGCGCGAATTACCGTCAAAATATTCGTGGCACACAGCGCGGAATATTCGGTCTTTCAGCACGCAGCAAAGATTCGCGGCACACAGCGCGAATAACCGTCAAAATATTCGTGGCACACAGCGCGGAATATTCTGTCTTTTAGCACGCAGCAAAGATTCGCGGCACACAGCGCGAATAACCATCAAAATATTCGTGGCACACAGCGCGGAATATTCTGTCTTTTAGCACGCAGCAAAGATTCGCGGCACACAGCGCAAACAACCATCAAAATATTCGTGGCACACAGCGCGGAATATTCTGTCTTTTTGCACGCAGCAAAGATTCGCGGCACACAGCGCGAACAACCATCAAAATATTCGTGGCACACAGCGCGGAATATTCTGTCTTTTTGCACGCAGCAAAGATTCGCGGCACACAGCGCGAATAACCATCAAAATATTCGTGGCACACAGCGCGGAATATTCTGTCTTTTAGCACGAGCAAAGATTCGCGGCACACAGCGCGAATAATCTTCAAAATATTCGTGGCACACAGCGCGGAATATTCTGTCTTTTAGCACGAGCAAAGATTCGCGGCACACAGCGCGAATAACCTTCAAAATATTCGTGGCACACAGCGCGGAATATTCTGTCTTTTAGCACGAGCAAAGATTCGCGGCACACAGCGCGAATAACCTTCAAAATATTCGTGGCACACAGCGCGGAATATTCTGTCTTTTAGCACGAGCAAAGATTCGCGGCACACAGCGCGAATAATCTTCAAAATATTCGTGGCACACAGCGCGGAATATTCTGTCCCCCTACTCGAGTAACACAAGACACGGTTTTCTCTGCATCGACCACAACACTTGGTCGTACTTTTCAAAGTCCCGTGTATCTCTCGTGCGTGTATTAACCTCACGGATCCTTCGCTAACTTCTTCTTCGATCCCACTTCTGAAGTTGTAGGTGGTGTCAGGATAGTTTTAGATGATGTCAGGGCGTAATTCTAATAAGGCTTCTAGTGGATCTTAACAAAGGATCTTTATTAGGTTAAACTGTACTCGATAGGACACGCACGACGGCTCACTGCCGTATATCTGTCCAACCGCTCTCCCTTTCCGCGGGGGACTGACCTTCTTAACCTTCTCCCTTCTTTCTTACGCAGCGCCGCCAGGGGGGGAGAGGAAACGTAATTCGCCGCTCACGCGTGTATATAAATGAATATCGGTAGAATAATAATTCGCCTACATAATAAAAATTGAAAAAATAGTAACAATAAATATTTTTCAGAACGACAACAAAGAACATTAATCATTGTATTCCTGAGGAATTAATTGAAAATGTGGAAGGCATAGACTTTATTGATGATGATTTCCAAGAAGTTAATAATGATTCTATTATCACACTTCATACAAATGATAAAATAACTAATTTTATTGATATTTTCTATTAACATATTTGTTTATGAATAAGAATTTAGAATTGATGACAATGACAAAATTGAATGTTACAGACTCAAGCAGTGATGAGACTGATGATGCTGAAAAAGAAAATAATCCAGTAAATGCAATATTAACAAATAATAATAAAGATAAATTTTATTAATATATTTATATTTATTTTTAGACACACCTCTCTCTCTCTCTCTCTCTCTCTCTCTCTCTCTCTCTCTCTCTCTCTGTGTGTGTGTGTGTGTGTGTGTGTGTGTGTGTGTGTGTGTGTGTGTTGCGTAGTATCTTAAGCATATTAACAATTTGTATTGTACTGGTTGAACCGACAGACCACCGATTGTTAATTTTTGCTAATCCTTCTTCAATTTTTGTTAATATTCCATATAGGAGGAATCCTTATTAATCTATAGCGTCTTTTAATTGTAAATTATTATAAAAGGGTTTTAAAGTCTATCACGAATGTATCGTTTTCGTACACGTTCTCTACTTGAAAATCACGATCAATCAATATTTTCAATATCATCAATTTCTTCCATTAATTCCATAATATTTAGGGTATGTTCCAAAATTCACTGCCAGCACTGTCAGTGCTACAAATTGCGTTCCAAAATTCATGGCAGCATACTGCGGCAGTACTATTAGAGAGCAATGACATCATTAATTCTGTCGTCACTTCCTGCTGCAGTTACTGCGGTCAGAGAGGTGAAGCAGATGACGTAAATTACGTAATAAAGATATCTTTCTAACTGGCGAAGATCATGGAAGAACTGACATTAATCGATGCAGAAAACAACAAAGAATACAAAATTACAGTGTCAAAGGAAGATGCTGCGAGAACAAAAAGAGGTGAATTTTAAGTTTTTGTAGAATTGTTTTTATTTCAGAAATTCAGAATAGAAAAATTACATAACTTATAATATTTGATCAAAATTTGATTCAGACTATAAGTGTTCAAACTTATTATTATTAATTATAATGCAATTATAATTTTATTTGTAATTTTTTACAGATCATATATTTGCATATATACTCTCTATTGCAACAAGCAAAAAAATATGCAGCTGGAGAAATAAAAGATATTATAGATTCAGAAACAGGTTTATTTTAATACTTAATTTAATAACAATAATAATGTTCCATTTGTGATATCGCATTCATAAGATTGTCTGATGTATAAAAGATATACATGTTTACAGATGACACAACTAATTGCAGCACTGCAAGTAATTTAGATATGAGTGAAACTTCAGGTACGAAAGGTAGTAGTAAAAGTAAATATAAGTAAAAGTTAAAATAAATATTTTTTCAAGAAAACAACATTATTCTGTTTAGATCAACATATATGAACTCGTGCTGAAACACTGTTACTTATTACTTTATATAAAGAACACGAAGAAATGTTCAATAATCCTAAGATGTTTGCAAAACAGTGTTGGAATAATATTTCCAAGAAAATGAAAGATGCAGGATATCATATATCTGGAATTAAATGTACTACTAAATTCCAGTGTTTAAAAAGAACATATAAATTTGTTACTGATCATAATAAAAAATCAGGAAATAATAGGAGGAAATGGGAATATTATGAGGTATTACTAATTAGAAGTACTATTTATAATTTATATCAATTTATATATAATTTTTAACTTTAATTCATAAATCATACTGATTATTCTAGACATTCTTTTATCTATAGTGAATGTGTTTAATCACATTGTGTCCAAATGTAACTTTTCTTATTAAAAAGCAATATTTTTCTTTTTCATCTTTTTTGAAATTTTTATAATTGTACAGATAATTAAATTAATTAAAAATAATTTTTCTGATATAGGTTATGCATGAGATATTTGGAACAAAACCTTGGGTTGAACCAATAGCAACAGCTGGAAGTAGCGTTAATACTTCTGCTAATATTAATGATACTACAAATAATACAGAGAACAATGACGCAATAAAATCAGGTAAACACATAATTACATTACATTTAAAATATATAAAGAAAAATAATAAATAAAATATTTGCACTTATATATACATTTTTGTTTTATATTTTCTATTAAAATATTTTGTAGTACATGCATTTTTTAATTTTTTCTATTTATTAATTTCTTAATTATTTTTTTATTTGCAGTGCCAAAGAAACGAAAAATTCAAAACGCAGTAGAAGATTATTTAGAAAAATCTTTAGAAATGAAAGCAGAAAAAGAGATAAATGCTAAAAAAAGACATGAAGAAAAAATGACTCGTCTAACAAGTATTGAAAATTTAATAACAAAAATACTTAAAAAGTAATAACTTTTATATAATTAATATTTTATTGGTTCTTATAAAAATATATAAGACTGTTATGTATTCTTAAAATATATAAGACTGTTATGTGCATATAAGACTGTTATGTCACTTTAATATAAAATTATGATGAGTTTAATTTTATTTTAAATAATGTAAGAAAAATTGTGATAGTTTCTTTAATAAAGTTTATTGTACATACAAATTAAATTGTGTATGTAAATTAATTTTGTATGTGGATAGATCCCGTAAAGTATTTATGCGTGCATTTATCTATAGTATATGTATTGTAAAAGCTCTAGTATTATTTAAAAGTAATAGAAATAGGATCACGGAAAGAACGTAGGAAAGTACTCTCTTGCTTTCCTATGTTATTCCTTGTTCCTGTTATTTTTTATTGTGCAAAAGCTTTTTACTCAGCTTCCTTATGATTGTATGCATGTGTGTGTAAATATATACATAATCTTATCTATTTTTTAATTGTATATTATATGGTATAGGGATCTAAAAATATAAAGATAATATAAGAAAAAAAATGTTTTATAACTTCATACAACTTTATTCAAAATAATTTTCATTTTGCAAATGATATACAATAGCGTTACGTTTCTCAATACCTTCTTCTCGTATAATTTGAGGTATATTTTCGATTTCATATTGTACAGGTTCATTTGGCTGTACAATAATTGGAATATCATCAATGTAATCATTTCGTATTAAGCAAATATTATGTAAAACACAACAAGCACAAATATATTTAGGTATCAAATCAGTTCTTCTCATAGGTAATATATCCAAAAGACTTCGAAATCTTCCTTTTAACAAGCCTATTGTTCTTTCTACCATCATTCTCGCTTCAGACAAACAAGTATTATATTTTACTTGTGCATCTGTTAAATGTCCATTATCTTTAAACGGAACTATTATATATTTTTGGATGCCATATGCGGCATCACCTAATAAATGGCTATTCTCTGGGAAGTTTTCTGCGGTACACATGTCTTCAAAGCCAGATAATCTAAAAACTCTCATGTCATGCACTGACCCTACTTGTCCTGCATAAACATGAGTGATTTTTAATTCATTATCACATATTATCTAAAAAAAGAGGAAATAATATTATTATTACATATGTCTGCAGAATTTTTATTCATAAAAAAATATAATTTAACATTTTTACAAAAATACTTGTGTCTGTATAGAGTGATAGCCTTTTCTATTTATGTAAGCTTCTGGATGTAATTTCGGTGCTGCAATTTTTATATGAGTACCGTCTATCGCTCCTATCACTTTTGGAAATTTGTATTTGTTTTTAACATGTGTCCAAATATTTTCTGCTCTTGCTCTGTCTGGCCATGTAATGAATGTATGAAAATGTGAATATAATGCATTCACAACTTTGTAAACACATCTCCAAGCCGTTGCTTTTCCGACATTGAATCGATCAGCAACACATCTATAGAGTTAATAAATAAATGCTAAATATTAATATAAATTATAAATGTTATAAATTAAATGCTAATGTCATTCAATAAAACTTACCTATACGAATTGGGAGTTGCCATCATCCATATTGCCAAGAGTAATGTCTTCTCTGGTGGAATAGTATGCCTCCCACATTCTTCAGACTGTTTCAATAATTGCGGAGTTAACAGCTCCAATAAAAAAATAAATGTTGGTCGACTAAGGCTATGGAAAAACATTAAAATATAACATTTTCTATTTAAATTAAACGTTATATAGTTTATTATGAATTATTATTTGTTATTATTAATTATTAAAAAACATAGTAAAAATATTTTATCTATTGTTTATTGCATAAATTAATAATAACAAGCAATTAATAATAATTTATTTTTATTAAATAAATAACTTACCGAAAAATGGCTTTTAAAAGCATTGCCAGTATAATGCCACACTACATTTTCAACATAATTTTGGCACCGTACTTTAGGTACACGTTTTACATTATTTTTCACTAATTTTAATACTTTGCCGAATCTGAATCATCGTTTGATGATTCATCAGATTCAGCTATTAAATTTATATATGTTGCAATCAAAAATATTTTCTGATCATTTCTCTCTATTTTATAGGTTAATCTGTTGTTTACTTTTGTGTTCACTGCCAGCACTGAAAGTAATGTTCCATTTTAGACATCGTATACGCATTTACAGCACGCTCACAAAAATGAAACGCTGTTGATAGCATACTTTTATGACGTCACGCTCACGGCACTGAATTTTGGAACATACCCTTAATCATAAGCTTATCTTAAAGTCATGTACGACTGACTTGAAAACAAACTTACTTTCTAATAAACACGATCTTATTTGATTCAAATAAGGCCATCAAGATTTGATTATGAATCTGACTAGTTTTGTAGATATGCTTAAGAAGAGAAAGGCATCTTAAAAGACTTTGTGCTTAAGACAGTCTTAAATATAAGAACGGACTATGGAATACCGTCCTTTATTTCAAAAAATGAGAGTTTAAATTTCAAAAGAGTTAGCTAAAATCTTTACTTTCGAAAAGTCACAGTTGTTTTCCAACATATTTGCTGACCAAAAATTTCTCCAAGTGATCTTACAATAAAATTCTGCGCTATAACATAGTGTCCAATAATAATTTAATGGCACTCATTGGTCGTACATATGTATACATATATATTCACAAATATGTTTCGGCAATGCAACGCGTGGCCTTATATCCTCACTCAGCGGAATTCTAACTGCGAGAAAAGACGCCGCGTAGCGGCGAAAGCACGAACAAGTGCACGACTTTACGGACGGTTTTCCGCGAGTGCTTTCGCGCGCAGTCTTGTCTGGCGGTGTAGCATATGTTACAGGCGTTTTACTATGAAAATATAATTGTGGCTTAAGGAGATTCTGAACGCCTTTGAGAAGTCTGTTGTTTTTTTTCTGTTTTATCGTCAAAATGTGATGTTAGATAAACTATAAATCTATTTATTGGCTATATGGATTGTTTTTTACATAAAAATTGCTCAGAAACGTATATAGTGCTCGCAAAATTTAAAACTACACTGACTTTTTTCTTAAGGGTTTGAACGGCCAATTTCACATTTATTCGAAACATGATATGCTTTTTTTATTTTTGTGTTCTCCAATCCTCAGGTTGCAAAAATATATTTTCCTAATAAATTTTTTTATAACATAATTCTATTAATTTCACAACGCAATCGGTTTTAACATTTCCACATGAAAAAATATGTATGTAAATATATATTTGAAATATATGTATGTATATTTATATTTTTTTATTTGTTATTGCTTTATAATCATTACTATATTTGCAAAATATAATTTATATATATAAATTATATTATAGAATTATATGTATTTATATTAAATTTTTTTATTTGCTATTATATTTAAGTAATAACTCACTTAATAAAGTAATAACAAATAAAAAAATGTATAATTTAATTTTATTATTATTCGACACATTTGGATAAAAAATGAGAAATTCTAGAACAAAGGAACATTTTACTTACAGACAAGTGACGCAGTTTACTAAACTTATATTTTATTAACGCTCGTATTTTCATTTCTGATAATAATTCTTTCTAATTTGATAATAGATTTGTAATTAGCAGAGAAGTGCGTATATAAGTACAAATATGTTAGAAGAAATTCTGCTCGAAATTTACAGTACAAATACTCTTCTTTCTTCTGCAAGCGAAGGAAATGTTATCACTTTATCTTCTTTTTTATACTTCACATTTTACATGGTAATTTTTTATATTAAGAATTTAATATATTCGATAAATTAACAAATATTCTTGGAAAACTTGACTTCGACGTAACTAGCAAATTTTATTTAATTATTTCACGACGTTTCGACCATTTGGTTGTGGTCCTTTTCAAGTGAAATTTCTACAACATAATATTACACAATAGTTTTTAACATACGAGAACTCATTTAAGTGTTAAATTAATAAAATAAATATAAATTTTGTAAACAAATTTTGCTCTAAAATAAATGAAATTTTAAGTACATTTAATAATTATCATGAACGTTTAAAATTTACACATGAAAGAGAGACCAATTCTTCTATTAATTTTTTAAATTCTACAGTTATCCGCAATGGGAATAAATTGACAACTAATTGGTTTAGGAAACCTACATGTTCTGGCAGATACATCAATTTTCTTTCGAGTCATCCTATTAAGTACAAAATTAATACGATTTACAATTTAGTAGACCATGCAATTTTACTTTCTAACGAACAATTTCATAATACGAATATTGAGATTGTAAAGAACATTTTAATTAATAATTGTTTTCCGGGTCATATTATTAATAAGTATGTAAATAAAAGAATTAATGTACTGAATAACAACAGGAATGTTAACGGTCACAATGCGGATAATAACGACAGTTTGAGTAATAATTTAGATAATAACGTTAATGTGAATTCGGCTCAAGATAAGAATTATGTAATTCCACTCCCATACGTTAAGGATGTTAGCGACAGTATTAAAAGGTCACTTAAAAATGCTAACATAAATGTCGTTTATAGTTTGCCAAAAAAGTTGAATAGGCTGATAAAACGAGGTAAAGATTTAATAACTAGATTTGTTCGTTTTACCTACACTTTCTCCACTTTTGTAGAAAGTGTACACTATCACGTTTCTTTTAGAAGAAGTGACGTCAGAGTACGCTGTTTGTTTTGCGAGTGTAGCTACACTATAGTGGCGATTTCCCTATACTTTTTACACTTGGTCTTGAGGAGGTGTGAAAAGTGTATACCTACGATTCCCGCGAAATATAACCTACATATGATTAACACCAACGAGACCTGAACATAATTCTGAAGAAATATTTACCGGTAATAAACCTTTATAAAATAGCTAATGTATTACATTATTAAAATGAATGCTTTTATGATGTTAAGAGATATTCATAACATGAGATCATTAATAACATTTTTAATAATATTTTCTGTTTCATATTTTAGCTGTTCACTATGCAAAAAGAAAATTTGCAAGTAAAATTTGCAAACATTGCTCAAGATTCCAAAGGAAATTTTATTGTCGACGGTGACAATAATATTCTCTGCACATCCAAAGGTGGGAATATATATTATTCAATACAAATTATTCAATATGGCTAATTTAATTGCAATTTTAATTATTATTAAAACTGGTACTTTATTTTTCAAATCAAGATTTTTATTTTATTATTATTCAATTTTATTATTTTTTTATTGTGACAAATGAAATAATTGTGTGTTTCAGTATTTATAATAATTGCTTTACATTTTTTGGTATATTTAAATTGTTTAGATGGATTGAAGTTTATTTCTAAGAATTCATTATTATTGGACACTAATGCAATGATCTGCCCAGTTGAGGACGAGTTGTATCAGATTGAATTAGATAATTTAAATGATAAAGCAAACAATGCCTCAAATATTGACACTACTGATGAATCATCCACTTCAGCAACAACAAATGAATCTGCCATAATTAAAAAGAATCATGATACTGATTCTTCATTTTCATGGAATGATGAATCTACCAGATATTTTTTATCTTTATATCAAGAAAATAGAAAACTTGTTTCGTCCAGGAAGTTGAAAACATTAAAAGCAATGTGGATTCATATCGCTAATACAATGACAAAGTCTGGATATAATGTATCTCCGCTACAAGTTGAAAACAAATTTAAGACGATGGAACGAGCATATAAGAATATGGTGTCAAACAATAAAAAAACAGGAAGAGGACGGGCAACATGTAGTTACGAAAGGTACATAGTCAGTAGTTTTGAACTCAGGGGAAAATAATGATTGGAAAGATATCGAATTGATGTAGAATCAAAATGTCAAAGATATCTATTTGACATCAATTCGACGTCTTTTCGATTATCATTTCTCCCTGGGAAGTTCTTTTAAAAGTGAGTAGTATTATATAATTTAATACTTGACCTAATACTGACATAATACTTGACCTAATACTTTATCTAATATTGACATTTTATTAACAGTGAACTATCCGAAATACTGTGGGAAATAAACACAATATCTTACCTCTCGTGACTTCTTCAAATGATGGTTTAAGAATTCGCACGAACACAATAGATCTAACTACTGGTGTAAGTGCACCGCAATCAATACTCCATCCGTAAGTATTGCAGTACCTTTCTACTGAAGAATAAAATTATTTCTAAATTGAATTGATGAATTTCCAATTAATTATTAATTGTATTAATGATTTCATTTTTTATATATAGACTGCAGTCATTAGCATACAAGAAAGTGACGGATGACGTAGCAGTGACTAATGAAAATCCGATAGTTGACGAACATTATCTGGTCGACGATTTGTCTTGTTCTAGCAATGCCTCTTCCTCATGTAAAACAGTCCAGTTGAGTTAAACTTTTGTTTTTAAGTGCTAAAATATTTAAAATTTCTTTTGATAACGTACAATATTTTGTTACAATACTTTTGAAATTACTATAGTGTGAAAAACAATTTTTAATTATGCTTTATATATTACAGAAAACAAAAAACAGGAAGCACAGCAAAATTAGTAGCTTCATGCCAAAAAACTCTACAAGATTTAGCAGCTGACCGACGGGAAGAGACATTAAAAAAGGAAGATTTCTGCAAAGACTTTCGTGATTATATGAAAAAAACTCTTGAACAGCGTGAAGTCGCAAATAATCTTCGAGAACGCAAAAACGTGTTAGTAGAACATTTGATTAAAATGTTTGATAAAAAAAATGAAAACTTAGATGAAAAGTGAAAGAAACACATGTTATCATACTTTATATGATTTTTTAATTTTATTACGACTGTGATTTTAACTTGCAAACGCAATGAAGTTCATAAACATTAAAAGTTATAAAGTTACATAAAATAATGTTACATTCAAAATAATGTTACATTCAAAATATTTTGTATTTAGCAAGATTTTTTTATTTAGCAAACGATTTTTTTTATTTAGCAAAAGATTTTTTTTATTTAGCAGAAGTTAAAAGAATGTAACAAGCAATTTGACAAAAATTTACTCTAAGTCTCATGTCTAGTAATAAGTATTGTGGTTGTGATGAATTTTATATTCACATTAAAATATATGATTTTCTTTTTATTTTTAGTTACAAAAATGTGATAAAAATGTTAAAAGTATAATATTTTATTGTAATAAATCTTATTTTTATATTAAAGTACATGATTATAAAATACATGAATATACAAGATTAATACACATTTTCTTATTGTATATTGTTGTCTTTTGTATATATTTATCGCATAGCTAGTTGACGGCATATTTCATTTTCTAAGATATCGTCCTTCACAATTATCTTCTATTTCAATGTTGTCGTTAATTGGAAAATGTCTTGCTTCGTCATCAGGATAATCATCTGCAATTGGATCTTCGAATAGTCTCAAATCGTTTTCGTTTGCTATATTATGCAGCACACAGCATGCGTGGATGACTTGAACAATTCGAATCATATTTCTCAATTTTAAATGGTACAGTTGACGGAATCGTTGTTTTAAGCAACCAAATGCATTTTTGATGATGACACGACAAGAACTTAACTTCTGATTGAAGTTTCTTTGTGCTCGTGTAAGATGACCGTTGTCTTTGTAAGGTACCATCAAACGTTTCATGCAGGGATAAGCGCTGTCTCCAAGTAAAAAACCATTTTCTATAAACAAATAAAGTATGTACATATTGGCTGGTAGTCATTGTTTGGGTCTTATATTTTTCTAATTCTTTGTCCTTGACTTTAAAAAATTACCTACCTCCACATATATCATCTAAGCTGTTAAATAAAGAGGATTCTCGTAACACTCTGGCGTCATGCACCGAACCTGGGTATCCTATAAAAACGTCAATGAACTTTTTTCGGTGATCTGCCACACCTTGTATTTGAATTGAGAAGTATTGCTTTCTATTTACATATGAATCTTTGTCATATAAAGGTTTATCAATTCTAATATGCGAACCATCAATAGAACCTAGATGAATGATAAATTGAATAACATTATTGAAAGTAACACTTAAAGAATTACAAAAGATATATTTCCAATTACATAATTGGTTTTATCTAAAGAACCTCTAGGAGAGAGAGACTTTCTAGTTTTACCTATGATTCCAGGAAATCCGTTTTTTTGTAAATAATGTTCCTTTGTTAGATTTCTCTCTTCCAGTGAAGGAAATTTTATAATATAAGGTGCAATTGATATTAAGAATGTCGTTACTCTGGATATTATTTTGTACAAAGTGCTCAAAGTAACACCAAATCTATCTGCCACATCTCTGTAAAATGCAGTTTGGTGCCCTACAAACCACAAATAACACAAAATGTGTTTCTCTGGTGACGTAGGCTCAAAACCAGCAGGACCTTAATAATAACATGAAATAGAAGAAAACGTGTTACTACAGTTAAAAAATATCTTATAAATAATGTGTTGTCTACAATGGCAGCAGGCAGTACAGAGTACAGCAGTATGAATTGAGATTTATCCATTTTGTTACTCCCGCTGAAATGGGTGAATCCCATTTTGTATTGCTCATTGCTTACTTTGTACTCTGTACTGCCTGCTGCAATTGTAGACTACACATAATATTTTTTTAAATACCTCTTAAAGATATGAATACTGGAGATCTTTCAAAGTGATTAATCAATGTGTATGCAACTTCTCGTGACAATCGAAAGTGCATGATGAAATCATTTTTGTTGTAATTTCTTGCCTGATTTTCTACATAATTCATTACCTTTATGCGTTGTCTTCTTACAATTCCTTGTATGACTACTTGCATCAAATTTTTAATCATGTCGAAATCTGTAATAAACATTGTACGCATCTACAATATAATAATTGTGTATCTTGTCCCAAGTGTTATATTGTAACAATGTAAAATATAAGTAAGAGTTTCACTCACTTTAAACATATACACAAAAAGGATTTTTTTACATAATTAAAAATTTTTTTATTTATGTGTAGTTAATGTAAACTTATATTGAAAGAGCTAATATTACATAATGATGTAAATAAGCAAAACTCTTGTTATGTGAACTGGGTACCTATTACGGTTTTTTAGGTGAGTTTGCTCACGAGGTGAAAATCACAAAAGTGAGAGATTCGCTAAGTTGTCTACGCTTTCATTGTCGAAATCTAGTAAATCTTACATTTTTATAATTTTCACCTCGTGAGCAAACTCACCTAAAGAACCATAATAGGCATCCTATTGCAGCTTAATAATTTTACTCTCACCATCATCCTCGATCATGAAATGTGGATCAGGAATGTTTTCATTTTCGTCATCGTCGTCGGAAGAATCCATTAGTATGTAACAAATTTCACGAATTCCTTCCATTGCCATTGTAGAGAGAACGTGTTATTTAACTTTGTTTTTCGTAGGTTATAACTTTGTTTTTCGTAGGCTATGTTTCGCTGTGTATGCAAACCACCATTTTTATTTCACACTTTCGCGTTTGTGCTACCATCACTACACTTGAAAATTTATTCTGTACTTAGTGTACACTACCCTAAATCTCTCTACACTAGTGAGTGTAAAAGTGTAAAACAAACAAATTAAATGATATTAAAACGAATGTAGTATACAAGATTAATTGTGAAAATTGTAATGCATCATACATTGGACAAACGAAAAGACATTTATGCACTAGAGTGAAGGAACATGCCAGCAATATTAAATTACATGAGTCTAATCATTCGGTTTTGAGCAAACACAGATGTGATTTTGGGCATAACTTTGATTGGAAATCACCGACCATTTTATTGTACATAATGAGGAACATGTAAGAAAGAGAGAGATTGCTGAAATGTTCTTTATAAAGAAGCATGACAATACGGTTAACCTACAGAAAGACACCGAGAATTTGACAAACATTTATGACAAAATAATAAAGATTGTTTAGTGGCGCGTTTCAAATTTAGTCGTTGACGAAACATCATAACGATGGGACGTGTTCCTCTTTTAACTTTTAACTTTCAACATCATAACGATGGGACGTGTTCCTCTTTTAACTTTTAACTTTCGATTTTAAATAACACCAGTGTGATGTTACGTTAACCTCGGTTTAATTGATGGGTATGTTTATAATATTTATATTTATTTTATTAATTTAACACTTAAATGAGTTCTCGTATGTTAAAAACTATTGTGTAATATTATGTTGTAGAAATTTCACTTGAAAAGGACCACAACCAAATGGTCGAAACGTCGTGAAATAATTAAATAAAATTTGCTAGTGTGCGCGACGGAAGGCAGGATAGGAAGGTCGGAAGCGAGAGGACAGCGAAGCACTGCACTCAAACACACACGTATCGTTTGATATAAAACTATATTTAAGACTAAAACAAAGAAAAATACAAGTATTGAAACCGCACAAAAATTGCCCGAGAATTAACTGACAGGAATAAACCAAAAGAAATAGCCGAGTCGGTAATTAATAACTAAATGTTCAGCAAGCAACGGTAACTAGACGTGATAAAACGAAAAAGACAAGCGATCTTTTTCGTACAGTAGAAGCACACTCTTGACGCGACGAGCAATCGGAAAAGAGCGCCGCGATCACGAGAGAGGAGGTTTTTATAGGCCCGTATTTCTAGAACAGTCGAGAACAATTCTATTTATTTTATAGTTCGGCTGAGGGCGAAAGAGCGTTTAGTGTAATTATTTACTTTCAGGAAAATAATCGTTTTGTTATTATCGGGACTAAAGTGTATCTCCTCTCGCGCGACCGCGGTGTTTACCATTATCGGTGATTTGACGTAAGCGCTTCCTTTTCGCAGGCGCGGGGTATACGTATACCAGTGCGGCCGAGCGCTATTTGAAACAATATTAATTTAAAATTATGCATGATGCATGTTGCATGGAAATGAAACGGCGGCATGAAATTTAACGCAATAATGTTTTAAGCCTTTTCAGCTTTTTTGACGTTCGATTTTCGAACAGCTAGTTACGTCGAAGTCAAGTTTTCTAAGCTTATTTTCACCACTAGCGACCAATATTAATTTTGATTAATATTAATTTTAATTAACAAATATTGTTTGTAAACAAATCAATTATCAATTTCCAAAAAGTTATTGCATGCTTAGTTCAAACTCAAACATATAAAATTACGGAATATTAAAAAAGATATATTGAGATAAATAATTATAATATAATAAGAAAATATATAAATTAAGTAACAAAAAGCAAAAATTATAAATAGTGTAAAGTTTAATAATTTTATAGTTTAATATTTTAATAATTTAATCATTTATATATATAAGTTTAATAGTATATAATTAGTATATTATATGTATATATATATATATATATATATATATATATATATATATATTGTTATGTCCGTGTCCCGCCCGTTTGACGATACGTCCCTGTATTATACGATCGTCAGGATTTCCTATTAGGATCTTCTATCAGGGTCTTCTATCAGGGTCTTCTATCAGGATCTTCTATCGTCGCTAAGAAGCTGTTTATGTCTATCGATGCGTTTTGTTCTGGTCTAGCTGTCGTGCGGTGAGGACGTATCCTCTGACAGCTGATCGGCGGATATATTTGCATTAAGATTAATGCACGTAATATTATATTGTATCGTTACGGTTTATTGACTTCTAATATTAAAGTTTATTGCTTTACTACGCGAGTGTATTCATTTCCGGCGTGTGAGAGTTTGAGTGCGCGCGACATTTCTTGAGATAATCCGAAGGGTGGTCGCGGACGTAACATTTTGGGGGCTCGTCCGGGATAGTTCGGACGTAACACGAGCCACGAGCCGTAGTGAAAAAGACAAATATTTTGTGTGTGTGTGCGGTGAAAAGGTTACGATGTCTTTGGTGCATTCTCCGAGGATTACTCGTTCGCAAGCTTCGTCACGAGCAATGATCGGCGAAGAACAACAGTCGACTCCACTTCGAGCGATTAACAGCGAGGAAACTTCCGAGCGCGTGGACGCTTTACAGGAGGCGTTGGAACAAATTAGAGAATTGCGAGAGGAACGCTCACAACAGCAGGCTCAATTTTTGACGATGCTGCAACAGCGGGACGAGGAACTGCACCGATTACAGGAAAGACTCGTCTCATCGGAAAATAACCAGCTAAGTCACATACATAATAGAATTCCGAACAACACCACACGTAGAAATAGCGAATCGAACAATGTTTTACACAATAATTTTGAGCTCGGATATAAGCTCAAACCCGAGAATTTTGACGGGAGTGTACCCTTGCGCGAATTTATTGCCCAGTTCGATTTTATAGCGCGAGCTAATGGTTGGAATTCGTTTCAAAAGACCTTGGCTCTTGCCGCTTGTTTAAGAGGGAAAGCGCGGACCGTTTTGGATGGAATTTCGGAGATTGAAAATTTAGAGTTCGCGGATTTAAAGTCAAAATTAGAATTACGTTTCGGTGAAGGGCATTCGGCTCAGTCTTATTACGCGCAATTTACGAATCGTAGACAAAAGAATTCGGAAGATTTGGCTTCTCTTGGCACAGATTTAGACAGATTGTCGCGATTAGCCTATCCTGAGTGTTCTCACGAAGTTAGAGATAAAATTGCTTGCGCACAATTTATTACTGCAATATCCGATGGCTTTTTGAAGAGAACTCTTCAATTAGAAAGCGTTATTTCATTAAAATCTGCCATAGAGAGAGCAATGGCAGTAAAAGTCATCCAAGAAAATAGTTTTCAAAAAAATAAAAATTTCCCAAACCAAAATTTTGAAAAATATAACAAATATAATAAATATAATAAATTTAATAAATTTAATAAATTTGAGAACAAAGAGAAAAACAAAGAGACAAAAGAGAAACATAACGAGAAAAAGAAGTCGTATAATAATAAATATTTTCAAAGGAACGGTCCGAAGGCGAAAAAGGAATGTTGGCATTGCGGCGCTGAGGGGCACTTCCGTTCTGAATGTCCGTCATTTACGGAAAACAAGGTTTAGTCGAACTTCGCGGGGCAGGTTCGGCTAATTGCGTGATAGCCCCAAATGTTTTACAATGTGCTAGAATAAGTAGAACTAGAAATAATTTTTATTATAAAGGAAATTTGGACGGAAAGATTTGTCGATTTAAAATAGATACGGGTTCCGATGTTTCTATTCTTAGTGAGAGATTTTTGAAAGAATCGAAAGAATATTTGGAAATAAACAATTGTTATCTTAAATATCCTACAGGGGAATTAATTGAAGTTAAATATAAAGTTAACGTTTTGATTGTGTGAATTAGGAAAGCATGAAGTAGAGATTCCTATAATTGTTGCTAACATTTCTGATGATTGCATTCTTGGGATAGATTTTCTTGAAAAAATAAATCTAGAAAAAGTTTTTGAATCCCAATTTGGAAATATTGAAAAGAATAATAGAAATGAATTTTCTTGTTTTCGAATTATTAAAGGGAAAGTCCCTGATTTTCTTGAGACATTTTTTGGGGAAAATTCTAAAAATTTGAATTCCTCTCAAAAAGATATTTTTGCCAATTTCGTATTAGAATTTCAGGATGTATTTTCTCAGGATTTGATTGCAGGAAACTGTGGAATTTTAAAACACGATATTAAGGTTACGGATTCTAGGCCGATTAAACAAGCTCCACGTAGAGTTCCGATTCATTTAAGAGAGGAAGTCAATAAAATCATTAAAGAAATGAAGTCTCAGGGAGTTATTGAAGAATCTAAAAGTCCGTGGGTCTCTCCTGTCGTAATGGTAAAGAAAAAAGATGGATCATTAAGATTTTGCGTCGACTATAGGAAGCTGAATTCTGTCACGGTGAAAGATTCATATCCATTGCCTCGAATTGAAGATATTTTGGATCAACTTTCAGGAAATTCTTGGTTCTCTACTCTGGATCTAAAGAGCGGGTATTGGCAAGTAAAGCTGGACTCCAAAGACAAGGAGAAGACGGCTTTCTCTGTGGGAAATGGATTGTGGCAATTTACTGTCATGCCATTTGGACTTTGCAATGCCCCCGCTACTTTTTGAACGGTTGATGGAGAAAGTTCTTCAAGATGTTTTATCGAAGATCTGTTTAGTTTATCTTGACGATGTGATTGTTTTCAGTGAAACATTCGAGGGGATAATGGAAAATTTGAGGAAAGTCTTTTTTCGCTTTCGCTCAGCAAATTTGAAATTGAACCCTAAGAAGTGTTCGCTTTTTGGAAGAGAAGTAAAATATTTTGGTCATGTTATCTCTGAACATGGAATTACGACGGATCCTAAAAAGATTTCTGCCGTCAGAAATTGGCCTGTTCCTCAGAATAGGAAACAAATTCGAAGTTTTCTAGGATTTTGTTCCTATTATAGGAAATTTATTAAAGGCTTCTCTTTGATAGCTAAACCGTTATTCGTTCTTACAGAAAATCAAGTGAAATTTGAATGGAATTCATCTTGTGAAGAGGCATTCAATGAATTGAAAGAGAGATTAGTTTCTTCGCCAATTTTATCTTTTCCGAAGGAACACGGAC